AGCACCTTAGCAAGACTATGATGCTCAGATAGACTCTTTAAAACAAAAAACACTTCCCCGAAGAATGCGATTATTTCCAGTGGAGGGGCGTGTCTGGGAATAGGAAGGGCTGAAAGTCAGAGGACAAAGGGATCCTCTTCTGAATTTCTAAAGGAGCTTGGCCCTCCGTCATAGATGCTCTTAGGTCTCACGTGACAGGGCAAGAGGCAAGAGGGTTTGGGGCTTGGGTTTCGGCAGTGGTCCGAGGGGCCTTTTCCTTGTAACTCAGCTGGTCCGAGTCCCAGGGGGCATTAGAACTTGCAGTTCCACCTTGCCCCATCCCTGCTATGGTGCCCTCCACGAAATCTTCTGTCTCTTCCCTCCTTTGTTGCCGGGTCATTTGTCCATCCTCCTGTGACCCCCTCAACAATGTTTCTGGGCTGTGAGGACCCCAGCATTCTCCTGGCTCCTTGGGCCATCAGACCCGGTTTCAATCCCTCCCCTCCTTGACCGCCATGGCTTGGTTGCTTGTCTCTTCTGGTCAGTGCCTTCTGTCTTGAGGGTCGGGTGGTGGAGGGAGGATTTAATCTGTGGGCTTCTCAGTCCACAGTTACCTCTCAGTAGAGGGCTTAGGGTCTGGGGGGACTTGTTCTTCTCAGTGCACTGGGCAGGCCTCAGAGACCCCCAGTGGACAAGGCTCAGTCTGGGCACTAAGGGATTACTGAGAAGTCCCAGGCAGGAGCAATATCCTGCACGACCTTACTCTCCCGTCAGCCATGGTGGTCACCTAGTTCTACCCCATCCTAATCCCCGGATCCCCTCCCAGATGGCCATGGTCCAGCATGTGCTGACCTCACAAGGCAGCTCATTCCACCGAGGTGTGGCTGCGGTCACAGGGAGTCCTTCCGGAGTTTGAGCTGCAATCTGTCCTCTGTATCCTTTACCTCTCGATGCTACTTCTCTGTCGGACCCTCTTGATGCACTTGGATCATGCCTGTGACAGCTGAGGATGATCTGCTCAGTCATACCGGTGGCCTGGACCATGCTGGGGACTCAAGGAAGAGCTCACAGGGCAGCTGAGAACTGACCAGCGTTTGGGAACCAGGACCATCCTGGTCTCCTTTTGGGGTAGGACACAGAGATGAGGAAGGGACATAGACGGCCATCAAAAGCGCTTTGTGCATGTTAGGGAGTGTGGGGGAGACGTGAGGTCCTAATTCAGTTCTTGGCCTCACCAGTGAGATGGCAAGTGACCACCATGGAATTTAGAAGTTCAAAACCTCCTTTGATTCCCAGCCAACTGGGCTGAAAAGGAAAGAATCTCTACTCCCAACACACCCCTGATACCAACAAAAGAGAGGGGACACAAGCCTTTGCTGCAGTTGACACATCAACTCTATGAGCCCCGAGAAACAGACAGGCCAGCTACGGTGGAGGCCAAGAGCTTGTATCTCTTTGCTCATTTGGGATCAACTCTGACTTGCCCTTAAACAATGTTCATTTCCACAAAAGTTGGAAGAGAGCTGGTTTTGTTCTGTGATGTTTTCCAGAATCTTAGCCCCAAGATCTAGTGAGCCCGGGCCCTGAAATGCGAGTGTTAAATGATTGTGCTAGCAAGAGCGATTTAACTCCCTGTAGATCTGGGGGCCGAGATCAATTGCCAATGAGTGGATTCATCAAAAGAGTAATTCAGTAGTTTATGGAAAGGCAGAAATAAGGATCTCTGGGGAAGGCCCAAGGAGGAGGAGAAGCTCATGGAGCACAGGCAGGGTTTGAACAGGAAGAGGAGATATGATATCCCTGAAGTACAGAGGAGACCTGGACAGGTCGGTCTATAGGGAGCTCAAGTTCAAATAGTGTGGAGATTGGGACACATTTGCAAAGGTGAGTGGAGCTCAGAGG